CAAGATATTTTTAGCTATTCTAACTTTCCCTGTAACCTCCATGAAGGAGGATTCAGAGGTGCAGAGGGAAGGGAGTAAGTAAGCCTCAGGGAACTGAAAAGCAACTGCAGTTTTCTCCAATTCCCTAGCGCCAAGGGAATTCATACACTTCCTGATAAGGCATCTGTCCTTGTCCTCTATGCTGCAGAAGGTGTACCCTGTCCATGGCCTTGAACCGACCCAGTGGACTGAGAGCCTGAGAGCATCAGGCCCAGTGCTAGACAGCCTCGTAACTGTCTGCCAGAAAAGTACCTCCAAGCCTTGGTGCTTGGAGAGCAACCCCAAATGCAGAGCAAGAAAGGGAGGAAGAGGAGGCTTACATACCTTCTAGTCTTGGCTGGAGATGAACTTGGGGTTAGGCAGTTTCCCTGTACGGGCCACCAAAATGATGCAGTTTAGGGATTCAGGGGGTCCTGGGACCCCAAAATCACAACATGCGGGTCCTGCCTGAAAGAATTTGACCCAAGCTTTCTTTCAGCCAAAGACAAGGTTTATTAGAACATTATTATATTGGGCAGACTCTTAAAGAGTCTGAACATGGGTAAGCAGTGCCTAGATTTTAAGAATCTCAGCTGTAGCTAGATTATAAGAATCTAAGCAGTGGCTAGATTTTAAGAATCAGAGCCTTGATGAACCTTGTTGAGCCTGGGATAGCCCCATTCCCAAGCTATGGCTTCCATCATCATTTGATCCAGTTTGATAACCACACAAGGAAATTAGTTTCATTAACAGTATTATATTTTTTGACCCAAAACTGTATCATCTATTAAATCCTCTATTTTATTTAATAGACTGTGGCATTTCCAAACATCAAATCTACCATCAAAGGATGAAGAGTTGCTCCCACTGAGGATGTTCAAGAGCATGGAACACAAGTTCTGAAGCCAGTTTAAGAAAGTTCTGACAATATTTTTCCAATGGCAGTACCACTGGAAAAAGAGTATGATCTCTCCAGGAACGACTTCAAAGTGGATGATATTCATTTGATTGTATGTTCCTACAGCAACGTGCCATTTTTAATCTCTTTCCTCCTCCAATTTATTCTATATGTTGCTGCCAGATTAATCTTTCTAAGGAGGTAGAGCTAAGATAGCAGAGTGATAGGAAGGTGTGTAGTTAGACCTGTATACAAACTGCTCCTAACAGATCCAGAAAATTCATGGAACTGCACCCTGATGAGGGAGATCCAGAAAAAAACCAATGAATCTTTCCAAAACACTATTCAGATGATGTCACTGTCCTGCTCAAAAACCTTCTGTGGCTCCCTATTACATGTTCCTGAAGTCCAAGGCTATGCAGCTTCCTGAAGTCCAAGCTGCATAGCCTTGAGTTCAGAATTCTTTTTCCTCTCACCCAAACTCCCACTCTGATTTTGTTTTATACCACACCTACAATGTGCACTCTACATGCCAGTCATATCAGACTTCTCACTTTTCTTAAATATACTCTATGCCCCTACCTATGTGCATTAAATTCCCTACATTTAAAATTCTTTCCTTCACCCCATTTCCACCTGTCAAAATCCAAAGCAATCCTCAAAGTCCTAACTGAAATTCTACCTCTTCTGTGAAGCTTCCTTGACACCCCTCCCAATTAACATCTCTCCTTCCTTTGAACTCAAATACCACTTTGTTCTTAGCACTTTATGAAGCTTATCACATTCTTGCTTTGCTGTTCCTCGGATGCCTGCTATATATATCCCCTTCTAGATTTTAAGCTTCTGGAGGGTAGAAACAGGCTGTGTCTTCCTCATCCACCATAGCTCCATCCCAGTGCCTTGAATAAAGAAGGCACTTAGTATACTATTTATGCACTGAACAGTTGAATAAATGGTTTTTGCATGTTAAAAAAAGTCACTTTCCTTTATTGTCATATCTTATACTAGAGGATTTGATTAATTCAAACAGTTATTCAATAAATAATGTGAGTACTGACCCATTTAGTTCTCTTTAGAAGGCACATAAGCAACCCAGGTACCTTTAGGCCTGGTCACTTTCTCTATTAGAACACCAAGCATAGGTCTTAGTGATACTCAGAATAATTAGAACATTACAAAGCAGAATTTCAGTATTGGACGATCAAGCCAGAAGTGCTGAGATAGCAGGGGGTATGGGGTGGCAATGGGGGTTGCAGATGGTGGGGAGCTGATCCTAGAAGTACACATAATTTTTGTGGAAATTACTTGTTGTATTGCTCAGAATTAAAAAGAGGTAATTTCCTTGCCTGATGTTATTTTAAAAGAAATTTTAAGCTATTTTGCAAAATTTGACATATGAAGGTAATATATGGAGAAAACTTAGATAAAATATACCTTTAAACTGATTTTGCAACTTATTAAAATATGTATTGCTTAAAGGAACATAGTAAACTATAAGACACAAAACTTTTTACACAGTGCTTCAGTGCAAATCTATGTTTCTTTCATGGTTTTGAAACTTCAATCAGTTGACTGAGCATTCAGCAAGTGCCCACTATATTATCCAGTGCTGTGCTTGGAGGGTCTGAGGAATTGAAAGAAGTGTAAGCCGTAGGCCCTGTCTTCAAAGAACCAAAAACCTTATTAGGGATGCATGTATATGAAGCAATTAGAAGACATTAGTGCATAATAAAATGTCAAATTGTATGGTATAGACATTATTGGTACAGGACTTCGAGGAGTTGGATACCTCCAAAGAGGGACAGAGGTCACTGTGCTCAGCCCAGAACAGATTTCAGGCTGGGGGAAAAATAAACAAACAAACAAACAAACAAAAACTGGCCTAAGTTTTGATGATGTCAGCACCATTCTAACTGCTGTTCAACCCACAAACTTACAGAGTTTAAAAACAAAAAAAAAAAGGAAAAAGACTACCAAGAAAAACCTTTAATAGGACAGTTGAGCCTTGGTGGGCTTTTGGATTAGCCCTAGAGACTGCATCTATGATTTCATTGGTATAACAAACTTCCTGGTGATGAAATGCCTGCTACTAAATTTTTTTAGCAGCATATTTGCTGCCAATTATAGTTTTAGAGAATCACTGAGAGTGCTGTGAGGTTAGAAGAGTTACCAAAAGTCACACAGCTAGTAGACACTAGAATCAATACTTGGATCCAAGTTTTCCTCCTTTCAATCTAAATTTCTATCCACCAGTCCATGCTGTTGAATTTAACCTGTCCTTTTCAGTCATTTTTCGATCATGTCCAACTCTTCAAGACTCTATTTGGGTTTTTCTTGGCAAAGATAATAGAGTAGTTTGCCATTTCCTTCTCTTGTCCTAAGGAAGGTCAAAAACATCCTTTTCTCTACAGAGGCCACATGAAGGCAGAAAGGAATTTTTTTTTTTTGCATTTGTTTATTTTATTTTTCATTTGTGAAATAAAATAAGTATTTCTATAACAGTATAATAAATATGATTGTACATGAAATTGTAAATCTATTATGTACAACTTGCTATTCCTTTTAAATATATAATAAAATTATCATGTAAATTTCTTTTTTCTTTTTTACTTTCCCTCCCCCTTCCCCCAGTCCTCACTAGAGATGGCAGCAATATTTATATTGTAAGGAGGGGCCTCCAATATATTATTAGAAATATTCTATGTCAGGAAACCAGAGAAGATGGAATGATTGGCAACTCTTGATGACTGAAAGTAAAAAGACAAACAAGTGATAGTAATCGATACCCACTAATAAGTATGTTTAGTAAACTATTTGATATCATGAAATCAACTGAGTAGTTTAAGGAAACTTAAAATAAGTACTCTCCAAAAAGGTTTCTCATTCTTCAGAGGATTGTCTTGAGAGCCCTTAAAAATGGTTTTAGTGGGCATTTATGTTTAGATCCATTAGGATGATTTCATCTATTCTAAATAAGCATCTGATTCCTTCTTTCTATTCCCACTGCCACAATCCATGTATAAGTCATTCCAGCCTTTCTTGTGCACATATTTGATCATGACACTTCTGCCCAGAACCCTTCAATGACTAGCTATTGTCTGTCAAATAAAGTCTAAACCTATTAGCTTGACCTTTAAGGTCCTTCACAATCTGGTACTAGCTGATTGTTTATGCTTTTCTCATACTATTCTTAAAGTCCTATCTCATACTATCCTCCATGTAGTCTACATCTCTACATTCAAGCCACACTCAACTACTAGTGGTCCCTAAGAGATATTCCTTACTGTAATGCCTCTCTATCTTTGTTTATTCTAATCCCTATACCTTATATGCTCTCCCTCATATCTCCCCTGAGGGGAGATCATGAAGATCATGAATACTTGTTTCCTCCTCCCCTCAAGTGGAAATTATTTTTCTCCTTTGGACCCCACATGGCACTGTAAATGTCACTTTAACCTTTATGGTCTATCATTTTATATTATAGTCATTTAAGTAAGTATATGGCATATTCCTTCCCAACCTCTGTCCCATACTGGACCTTAAGCTTCATGCAGGAAAGTTTTCAAGTAGAAGATGCATTTTCAGTCAATCAACAAACATTTGTTAATCATGACTGAGATTATCCAATGAAATAATGGTTGTAAATATACTTTGAAAATTATAAAAGTATGATGTGAATATAAGCTATTATTACTGTTATTACTATAAAATGGGTCAACTTAACCCTAATAGAAGTTAGACATATGGACTATGTTACTTCTTTTAAGTGTGATTTGTTGTGTTGTGTTTTAGGACTTGGAATGTGGGACTGAGTTTACTGCCTAGCTATAGTAGTCATCTCTTCTCAGTGGCAGGCTCACCACCAAAATTACCCATTAGACTTCTGACTCAATTCCCACAGGTTATTAAGTGATTATTCCAAAGTAACAAATTTCTAACACAGGAACCAATTCTTGAGTCAATAAATAGCTTTTTTCCTTCTCAGGAAGGTATGGATGAACTTGATCCTCAAAGCAACCCAGATGATAATATACTAATCATAATATTTCCCCTTTTTATTTTTTTCTCTTCTTATCTTCTTCAGAAGCTGTAGAAGAAACCAAACCTATGGAAAGTGCCCAGCAGGAGGAGGAGAAAGGAGATGAGAGCAAGGCGGACCAAGAACATGCCTGAACCTTAAAGAAATGACTCCCTGCCTCCCTTTCCTCCCTCCTCCTGACCCATGTCTCTCTGCACCCTCTACTCTCCCCCAGCTCCTGAGTCCCCCTTCCTATCCTGCTCACATCTGTGGGCCTGTCTTCTCCCCCTGCCCCCACAACCCTCTTTCTCTCTGTGTGGCAAACATTTAAAAAAAAAAAAGCAGGAAAGATCCCAAGTCAAACAGTGTGGCTTAAACATTTCTTTGTTTCTTGGTGTTGTTATGGCGAGTTTTTTGGTAATGATGATCCAATCATTTGGGAAATTCTTGCACTGTATCCAAGTTTTTTGATCTGGTGCGTGTGGCCCTCTGGGAGTCCACACTCCCTCTCTCTCTGTTCCAAGTGTGTGTGCAATGTTCCGTTCATCTGAGGAGTTCAAACTATCGAGTGAATTCAAAAACATTTTTCTTTTCTCCTTTTCAATGTGATGGAATGAACTAAAAAGGAAAAAAAATGAAAAACCCAGTTTGTTTTAAAAAAAAAAATAAAGCAAATGTGCCAATTAGCGTAACTTGCGGCTCCAAGGCTCCTTTTTCAATCTGAATATTAATAAATGACGGGAGTAATCATACGCATATGGCTTTGTGTTTCTGTATCACCTTCTCTTTGGCTCCAGCTTGGCTTGCCTTACATATTGACAACTTATGTTTCTTCCTATTACTGACAAGTTCTTGGTCTAGTTACATCAATCTAGCCATTGAGCTGGGAAAACCAAGTACTGGGCAACAACAACAACAACAACACTAATGACTGCCATTCAACAAGCGTTTATTAAACACTGTGTGCCAGGCACTGTACCAAGCATTAAGTATACAAAGAAAAGCAAAAAAATGGTCCCAGCCTTATGGAGCTCATATTCTCGCAGAAGAGACAATATAAGCAAAAACAAAAACAAAATAAAACAAAAACTATGTACCAACAAGATAGATGAAAACATATTGAGGGTAATTTGTTGTGATGGTGACAACATCATCAACAACAATAATGCAACATAACAATTAATGACTTTATATAGAGTTTTCACATGCCTTATCCCATTTGAGCTTCACAATAGCTGTTTGAGATAAGTAATACAAATCTTATTTTTCACATTTTACAAATGAGTAAGTAGGCTAAATGATTGAGATGTTTGCCCTCGGTTATATGGCTAATAACTGTGAGTTGTGGAAGGAATATATATAGACTTGACAGGGAAAGTTGGGTGTTGTCCAGGATTAATATCCCAGATCTTCAAAAATTATCAAGAGATATTTTTATTATCTCAGGAATCATCAAAACCAATCATCAAGACCAAGAACTTCTATTTCATCCAAGGTATTATAGCTTTGTGTTCTTGTGGCTTGTACATTGTAGAACAGAGCACAGGGAGGAATCATAATTCAACTCTACTTACTGATTTTTTTTTAGGGGATTTCTTTTGAACCAACTACCAATCCACTCTATCCAATCCTTCTTTAACTTATTAATTGACATGCTTACAGGACACCCCTAGTCAGGACAATTGTCAGAATCTTCATTAATTATAGCCATCGGTCTTGCCAAAAGGTGATGGTAGAAAGAGAAATGTAGTGCTTTGAAAGTACCTGTTACTAATCTAGGTCATATTACATTTGGGTCTAACGCTTTGAAACATTTTTTATTTGAACTTAAATAGTTCAAACTGAAACAAAGCAAAAAAATCCTCTAGTTCCAAGGTATCTGTATGACAATTAAGAACAAAAACAAAAAACAGTAGGCATCTTAATCAAGCCTCCTATAGCTCTATTAATATGTTCAACTTTATGTACCCTGTGATCACATGTCCATTTCATCTCTGCCTACATACACACAGAACTCCCACCTTCTTGCACCCCAATGTAGTGTTTCTTCTCTGGTATAAAGGAAGCAACTGAATTAGAATAAATATTTCAAAAACAGTGGGTATTTTGTAAACTTCATAGTGCTAGAAAACAAGAATCTCATCACAATATGAATGGGCAGTGCTAATAAGTGCTTAAGTTGCCTCCCTGAGCCTCAGTTTCCTCAGTTGTAAAACGAGGTTATACCAGATGAACTCTAATGTCCCTTCCAACTCTTGATCTATGAGCCTATTAGTTGTAGGCACTTGATTAATTATTCCTTTAATGACAGTAAGGCCACTTCTTGGGTCCTTATCAATTAAATTGAAAACTGCAAAACTCAAAAGCCCACATAAAAGCCATCAATGACATTGACCTCCATTAAAGTTCTACTTTGTTACCTCATCTGCAAAGGCAGAGCCAGTAGTGTACAAGCTCTCATAAAGTATACCAAATCGGAAAAGTTCAGAAACAGACTGTAAATCTGCTGCCCAAAGATCAGTCACATCAAGTTTGACAGGCTCCTTTCATTGGCCACCTAGGGATACATTTTCTTTTCAGTCACAGCAATTCACAAGACTATCAAAAAAGGTGTGGAATGGGCTGTAATCTATACTGGTGAAGTGAATTTCCACAAAAAGGAAATCACAGATCCTTGACGTGTGGAAACACAAATGATATTAAAAGTACTTGGATTTTTGCTTAATTTTGAGCCAACAATGAAATTCTACATGTTAATTAGGAAAGCCCTCTGTGGTAACATGAATTGTTTGACCATGATTTCATCAGGTTTGAGAAAGAGTAATGAGAGGCAGCCCTGTTGTAGTGAATAAAAAGCTGACTTAAGAATCAGGAAGATGTGGGTTTAAGTCCTGTATTGGACATATACCAGTTTTGTGACCTTAGGCAAATCACTCAAACTCTCAGTCAAGTCAATAAGCATTTCTTTAGTCCCGACTATGTTCCACGCACTGTGATAAATGCTGGGGATACAAAGAAAATTAAAAAAAAAAAACAGTTCTTGCTTTCTAGTCTCTCACCTTCTAATAGGGGTGGCAGTACACAAACAGCTATCTAGGGATAAAATATATACAGGATAATTTCAAGGTGGGTTTACAGGGAAGGCACTAACTAATATTAAGGGGAATAAGGAAAGCCTTCTTGCAGAAGGTGATATTTTAGTTGATACTTGAAGGATACAGAAGGCAGAGATGAGAAGGCATAGAATTCTAGGCCTTAGAAACAGCCAGAGAAAATTCAGAGTCAGAAGATGGAAGGAGCAAGGAGTCCACTATCACAGGGTCACGGAGTGCGTAGGAGGAAGTGAAGGGTAGGAAGACTGGAACAACCATAGTCAGGGACCAAGTTATAAAAGCCTTTAAAAGCCAAGCAGGTGTTATATTCGCTCTTAGAGGTGAAAGGGAACCACTAAACTGTACTGAATCAGGGACAGGGCAATAACAGGAGGAGACCTGTTCTTTAGGCAGAGCAACGGGCTATCCTAGCAAATACTGTGAGACTGTAAGTTGAAATGAATGCGTACACTTACGTTAGTAGATGGAGTTCCCTCATCTGGGAGTTCCTCAAGCGGGTGATAGAACAAGTTCACGCTCTATCCTAAGAAATAGTGATACACGGTCAATAACTGATGTGAAGACCCATGCCAACATTTTGATACACAACTTATATAAAGTGTGATAATTCATATTAATTCATTTGGGTAAAACTTTTTTGGTCCTAGGATAGATATATTCCCTCTATCCTTATCACTCTCCACAACTGAATCCACAGTCATAACTAGACACAATGGCTGATTGTCGTTGGAATCTGCGGTTACAAGCACAACTCTGCCTCACTTAAACCCGATTCACTTTAAGCGAAGACTTCACCCTCCTGATGGCATTGATCCTTTTCTAGAAGGAAGGATCAACAACAACAACAACGACAACAACAAGCACTACTTCCTGGGCCTTATAACCACAACTGGTTAATGTATTCTAGTACAAATAGCATCTATCTTGCTTAGAGGTTCACACTGTAGCCCTGGCACCAATTTCACACTCACACACACACACACACACACACACACGCATACACACACACTCCATTTGTTCTTGTGACTCTTATGTCTTCTTTTCCCAAGCAGAGCCTTCAATTTGTAGAAAGGCAAACTAGGAACAGGTGGAAGTCCCAGGGAGGCAGGGTCTGTCTCTCTTTAAAGCAAACAAACAAACAATCAACTTCCTCACAACCATATATTTAAAAATGACATAGGTGAGTTCAGGAAGTAGTTAGAACCTTATTAATTGGAAGAGGTAGATTGGCCACTTATCGAGGACATCCCATTTTGTAGAGGGAATTCTTGCTTCTGATCCCCCACTCCCATTCCCCAACCTGATGCCTTAGTGTTCTATGGCTGCCCCAGCCCCTTTGGGTATGCTATTACCCAAACAGTAAGGCAAGGCATGAATCTACTGTGGTTAGAATAGGCTTTATCTACTGTCATTCTATGGGGCAGCCTAGTTTAGTCAATCTACTGAGAGGATTTTACTGGGGTGTGGCTGTTGTGCATACTACAGCTTCTTGGAGACACACAGATACACACATACACACGCACACACACACACACCCATACACACTCACACCTGTACACAAGCACACTCCCCACACATACCCATACATACATACCCATTTCCCCCACCTCTGACCTCACCACACACATACAAGTAGGCGTCAAACCCATTGGTGAATTAGGGGGATGCCGTCCACCCCAAGCACATGAAGTTTTCTGCCATCAGAATGGGCAGATGGGAACAATTTATCCCAATGGCCATGAAAATAGCTGAAACAGGCACTGTGGAGTACTTAGAGATTGGTCAGATGTCAAAGACTCCAAGGTCATCCACTGCATCCTAGGCCATTGCCGGTCATCCTGACTTTTGTCGTGCCACTGGACTGAGATGACTCTGGAAGAGAAAGCGAGGCTGACAACTTGGCAACTCTGCCTCACTTAAATCCAATTCACATGAAAGTCAAGATGTCACCCCATGATATCACTAGTCCTCTTTGAAAACAAAGGACAAACAACAACACGGACCAACCAAACTGACCTTTTATCTTTCCCCACATGTAGGTATCCATTATCTATGTCTGGACTTTCGCAGTGGCTATCCTCCCCATGTCTGGAACGTACTTCTTGTTCATCTCTGTCTCAAAATCTCCCACTTTCTGCAACATTCAGCTCAACTATCACCATTTTCTTCACAAAACTTTTCTTTATTGTCTCAACTACTAATGCCCTCCCTCCTGAATTCCCTGATGTGTGTGTGTGTGTGTGTAAAATAGATAGATATTTATATATTCTGCATACACTCCAAGCACAGTGCCGTCACTTTTACAAATAGTTATTAATGCTATCTACCTCCACAGAGAGAATTAATGAATGGAGTGCAGATTAAAGCATTTTCCCACTTTATTCTTCTATGACCTATACATATGACTTCATCTGTGTAATGGGCATCACATTTCTTGCCTTCTGAATCA